GCGAGTCAGAGAATGAGAAGTGAGTTCCGGAGCGGCGGCGACTAGTGGCGGCGCCTGCGCGCCTCTTTTGTCCATGTCGGAGAGGCAGTCGGCACGAAGAGTTCCGCGCAAGACGCCTGCAGTGCTGCCATCGACTCTCCGTGCTTTCGGAGGAAGGCGCCTGGGGCGAGCCGGCGGCGGTGGCGGTGAAGACGGGGTGGGTGGGTGTAATCTGGGATGGTGTGCAGCGGGCACTCCGGCGGTGTGTCTTGGAGTGGTGAGGCTTTACAGCCGCCTTGCTCGAAGAGGGACTCGCGTCGGACGCCTGCCTGCCAGCTCTGCTCGTGCACGCGGACCCGAGCTGCGGCGCCGGCCGCTCGCACGCGGGCCCTCTGCGGCCCAGCCTCCGCGCTCGCCTCCCTCATCCGGGGAAGCAAACTCGTAACGTATGCCTCGACGACGGACGTCCCCGTCGGCGCTTCGCGGCAACTCAGCCATGTCCACGACGGAGTTTTGGGCGGAGGGAGCGGAGGAGCCGCCCGCGGAGGGCGAGTCCTTCATACAGGCGGCCGTCTTTGGAGCTCTGAAGCGAAAGCACCCTCCGCCGGAGACGCATTGGGCGCCGATGGGAGGCGCCGCCCTCGCTCCGCATATTTCCCATATATCCTCGGCCCGTATGCGCCAATCCCACCTGCTGCCTGAGCTCTGGCCCCTACACTTCCCGCCCTCCAGACCCGCGCGGAGAGATGATCTTCGCCGGCGCAGCTGCGCTGGTCATTGCGGTGGTCGGGCTGGACTACGTCTTCTCGTGGAAGCGGGTGCACAAATACACAGAGCCGCTCGTCTCGAACGAGTACCTCAAGACCGTCATGTACGCCGACCCGGAGCGCAGCTGGCGGCACAGCACAAACAACGCGGTGACAGGGCGCGATGAGAAGAAGAAGGGGGGAGCCTCCGAGACGCTAATCATGCTGGCATACTGTCTCGGATCGGTGGTGAGCTCCGTCTCCTTGGTGACGATGAGCAAGATGGTGTTTCGGCGCGGCTTCGCGTTCCCTATGACGTGCAATTTCCTCACCTACTACGTGGCCGTCCCTAGATGCCACAACTGAGCTGTCCCTCTCCCTGTAGAATAGGAGTGTAGTAGGCAGCCTTATTTTCAAATTCTGGCCCCGGGCCACTTTTTTTTTTTGGGGGGGGGGGGCGGGGGGAGGGGGGTGCCGCTGAGCGCTGG